GGAAGCCACTTCAGCGTCTTTACCAATCGGACTGCAGCCATAAACTTTGCTCGTTAAGAGCTGTGTTTCTCAACCTTGGCAACTTGATGATGTCCAGAATACATCTCCCTTAATTCCCCAGCCAGCATTCGCTGGCTGGGGAATTCTGGGAGTTGAAGTCCGGACATCTTCAAGTTGCCAAGGTTGAAAAACACTGGTCTAGAGGGTGGTGCTCATCTCCGTTTCAAAGCCGAAGAGCCAGAGCTGTCCGAAGACGTCTTTGTGGTCTTGTGGCTGGCATGACTAAATGCTGAAGGCACATGGAACGCTGTTACCTTCCCACCAAGATGGTTCCTATTTTTCTGCTGGCATTTTTTACGTGCTTTCGAACTGCTAGGTTGGCAGAAGCTGGGACACGGAGCTAGGGATTCTAATTGCCAAACTGCCGACCTTTCTGATCGACAAGCTCATCATCTTAGTCACTGAGCCACCACATCCCCTATCTTTCAGTTAAAAATATTAAATTTTTTAACATTATTATTGTATTGACACAATTGTCCAAGTAATCCAGAATGATTATATACAGTTCCTCCCTTTTATATTATGTTATATTATAACACAATCCTCTTGGATGTTGTAGCTTGAGAGATGATAGCTGGATCTGTAGTCTGGATTCCAAGGAGGGAGGGGCTGTATTTCAGAGGACCCAGAGAAAACTAAGTTTAGATAGCTTGATTGGGAGAAAGAGACTTAAGGTGCATTATGTCCCCATTGGAGCCTGAATCTGTGGAGGAGGACAAACCAGCGCTGAAGCCAATGGAGATCAAGGAGGCAGCTTTGCTGGCTTCATAAGAATGTGAGGAGGTGCAAGATGAGGCAGCCCAGGTCCCCTCAGGATTAGGATGGCTTGTTAGCAGAGAGGAACAGGGGCAGGATGACTGAGAGAGGGCAAGCAATGGAAATGAGGAGCAACGGAGCTCAGGCAATGAAAAAGGACCATCCCTTTCTGATCCTCGACCACAGAAGAGTGGAGAGAAGGTGGAAACAGTGCAGGCCGACCCAATGACTTGGGAGAAGAGTATCCCATTCCTCTTCACAAGGCACACCTGGGGACTGAGGAAACCCTGTGGGGAGGGGCATTTGTCGGGAACAAACATTGAATTAATAGAGTTTTGTGTGTCGTTGCAGATGTCTGGAATTTGCAGAACTCCTTGCTTCTTCCTTGCTTCGTGGATTGTGTCTTGTTCCTTACTTCATGGACTCAGTGCCTTGTTCCTTGCTGTGTGAATTCTTTTCCCCTTTTCCTTTGCTTTGCTGGAGTGCTCACAACCAGCAGCTGCTGTGTGTTTGTATGTGACAGAGTGAGCACTTTGCTATTTGGGAGAAAGATTAAAGGGAAGTTTGAACTCTCAGCTGGCTGTGCAGCCTTCATGCCTTGTCCTGGGTCATCACAAAGTGGCTCCTCCCTAGCAAAACTCAGACTATGTCTTTAATGAGTCAAGTAGCTGCTTTAGTTTGGCAAGATTTCTATTTATACATGAGCAAGAAAATTGCTTAGAAGTCTTTGCATGTCTTGCTTGCTTTTGTGGGGGTCTAATAGGATCTGAATCGAACAGAACTGAATTTCTTTCTCCACATCCCAAGTCAACTGCCCCAAAGTGGTGCCCATCCCACGTGTAACTTGCACCTGAGGGCAGGACAAGAAGCAATGGGTGGAAACTAATCAAGGAGAGAAGCAGCTTAGAACTAAGGAGAAATTTCCTGACAGTGAGAACAATTAATCAATGGAACAACTTGCATCCAGAAGTTCTGAATGCTCCAACACTGGAAGTTATTAAGAAGATGTTGGATATCCATTTGTCTGAAGTGGTGTAGGGTTTCCTG